TGGATTATTTGTTGTAAGTAATTGTATGTATTAGCCACATCATTCACTTGGGAAGACTGAAGCTTAAAGAGACTAATCAGGTTATCAGAGAATATGTAATCGGTAAGAGTTTCAGGTAATACTTGAATCCAGGCAGTATGACCCCAGAGGTGGTGGACTTAACCCTAAGCTGTGGTGCCTCCTTTAGCAGTGCTTACCATTTATCTCCTAACTCTGTGAAAACTTTTAGTTGTCCTTAATTTTATTATTAGGTGGACAGAAGCCCTAGTTCAAGTAACTGGATTCTCAAAACCTTGAATAATAAAAGGAAAAAATCATAGGTTCTATGAGGATCTAAAGAGTTTGAAAAATTGATGGCCAAAACTTATCGTAAAATGGTTGATGAAACTAGGATGTTCAGCCTAGGAAAAAAGAATCAATTGAACATCAGATTGAAGGAAGAATCAGTAAGCTTTATGTGAAGGGAAAGACAGAGTTTGGATCAGAAGGTTAAATTTGTGGGAAATTATGTATCAATTTCTTTGTAAGGATCTGTTGCCGATATCTACAGAACTGGGAAATGATAGAATTGCTTTTAGGGAGGATGAATTCCCTTTGAATAGTAGTGAACCATTAAAACTAACCAGCCTTGCCAGTGGTATTAGGAAAGTTTAAGCTGTATATTATTGGACTTAGTGGGTGACATAAAAGCTGTCTTCCTAGTTTGATTAGATCTGTTGGCTTTCTTGAGGATTTTGAGCTTTAAAAGTAATACACTGCCAGGCACAGTGGCACATGCCTATCATCCCAGCTCCTCGGGAGACTGAAGCAGGAGGATTACAAGTTCATGGACAGACTAGGCAACTTTAATAAGAACCTGTCTCAAAAAATGAAGAGTGATACAGATGTAGCTCAGTGTTTAGTAAAGCGCCATTGAGCTTAATCCCCAGTACCAAAATGAATGGATGGATGGATGGATGGATGAGTGAGTGAATAAAAGTAATACACAAAGGTCTCATTCCCTTCAAGAATTTGAGAACCATTACTAAATAATAAATCTTTTTTTTGTAATTTACTGAAAGAAAACAATATTAATTTTTTCCTATTAGAAAACTGAATGATATGAATTTTCTGTGTAGAAGAATATGACATTGTGATGATAACCCAGTATATTTTGGCTTATCTCTTTATATCAACACTTACACATGGCAAATATATCCAGGACTGAAAGTAGCTTTCAGGCAATGACTGACATGACCACTTTGAAATTCATTTCAGATGTTTGAAGTAAGTAAAAACAAATTGTCA